AAATAACTTATCAGCTGGCACAATTAACACTCAGTGAATCTCTTTACCCAAACTCTAATGTCACTTACTCTATGAAGTATTATTCAATGATTTATCCTTATTCTACACATGACAAATAGCTTAAAGCAAGAATTTTTCTTAGGCTAAAAAAATAAAATTAGGCCGGGCAGTGGTGGCACATGCCTTTAATCCCAACACTTGGGAGGCAGAGACAAGTGAATTTCTGAGTTCGAGGCCAGCCTGGTCTACAGAGTAAGTTCCAGGACAGCCAGGACTACACAGAGAAACCCTGTCTCAAAAAACCAAAAAATAAAATAAAATAAAATAAAATAAAATAAAATAAAATAAAATAAAATAAAATAAAATAAAATAAAATAAAATGAAAAATAAAAATAAAAAAATAAAATAAAGTAAAATTAGGTTTTGTCAGCAGAGCACGGAGGGGGCCCCTATTTGTAATCTCAGAATTTGGAGGCTGAGACAGGAGGATTGTCACAAGTTTGAGGCCACCCTGTGCTATATAGTGAGTGAATTCTAGACCAGCCTGGGCTCCAAGTGTCTTAATAAGGAAGCAAGGAAACAAACAAACAAAAATACCCAAAAAACTGTTGATTTTTGCAATGCATTTAATTGGACCTAAAGTTCATTTAGGGTATACACAGACACACAACTCGTCTGATCAGCCACTAATATGCTTCTGTTCCCTTTTATTTTTGTACTCAAGAGCCAGTTCACTTTTTCTCCGTGTTCAATATCGAGCTTCGGCAGAATCTTTGCATGTCCCTCATCCTCTGCTCCAGGGGCTCCAGAGTTCGCACCCTGCGTGGGGCACGCCGCCCTCTTTGCTTTCTTCCTGTAGGTGTGCTTCACAGGACTCTTCTGGGGCTTCTCCGTCTTACTGTTCACATCCCACAATCTTATCTTCCCATCATTTCCCCCAGTAAGCAGCAGATGGGACTCGGGCAGAAAGCAGACCTGGGATACTCCCAAAGTGTGACCCTTAAATCCCAGTTCTCGCTCACATTTGACTCCCATCACCCTGAAGATGCGCACCTTACCATCCTCCGCACCACAGCTAAAAAGATTGCCGCACGATGCCACAGCGACAGAGTGGGCTAGTGCGGGGTTTAGGAGCCGACCGGGGGACTGGGGACCTTCCGTTTCCTCTGTTTCATCCTCCTGTAAATTTGTAATCCAGACAGGACGGGCTTTTTGAAGACTCCACAGAATTACCTTTAAACAAGGTGAAATTACAGTCACACAGTGTTCTAGACACATTGCTCAACTACAGTGCTTACTGAGCTTCTAATGAAATATGACACAGTTTCTGTACCACCTCGTGGTGTCATTCAGAAGCTGCTACGGCATGCCAGGGCAATGTTACTGACACTAGACTAAAGCTAGAATGCAGACGCAGAAGTAAAATTGACAGGTTGGACGCTAAAACTTTTATTGAACAGACTCCATCAAAACCCAATGATTGGGCTGAGGATATAGCTTAGTGGCATAAGCACTGATTTGTCACCTGTAAAACCATGGGTGCATCCCCAACATCACTCCCTAAATTGAGAGAGAGAGAGAGAGAGAGAGAGAGAGAGAGAGAGAGAGAGAGAGACAGAGAGAGAGAGAGAGAGAGAGAGAGAGAGAGAGAGAGAGAGAGAGAGAGAGAGAGAGAGAGAGAGAGAAGCCAGCCAGCACAGCAGCATATGCCTTCAACCTTAGCACTCAGGAGACAGGAAAGCATGTTTTTTCTAGAGTTTCTCTGTGTAGCCCTGGCTGTCCTGGAACTCTCTTTGTAGACCAAGCTGGCCTCAAACTCACAGACATCCACCTGCCTTTGTCTCCTGAGTGCTGAGATTAAAGGCGTACACCACTACCACCAGCACCAGGCACAGAAGGCAGATATTTATGCATTCAAGGTCAGCTTGGTCTACATAGCCAGGTCCAGACCATCCAATGCTACACAGTGAGCCCTTGTCTCAACAAACAAACAAACGAAACAACAAAAACCTTTTAAAAAATATTTCATATTTTACTTGCCAAAGAAATTCTTGGGTTTGTTTCAAATGAGGTCTCACCATGTAGAGCAAGCTAGCTTTGAACTTACGGTGATCCTTCTGCCAGTTTGTCCAGTGCTAGGAAGCATGTATCACCGTGCCTATCTGGGGCCAGGGAATACCAGTGGAGGGGGGATTGTTTTTTCTTTCTTTAAGATTTATTAATGTTAAGCCGGGCGGTGGTGGCGCACGCCTTTAATCCCAGCACTCGGGAGGCAGAGGCAGGCGGATTTCTGAGTTCGAGGCCAGCCTGGTCTACAGAGTGAGTTCCAGGACAGCCCGGGCTATACAGAGAAACCCTGTCTCGAAAAACCAAAAAAAAAAAAAAAAGATTTATTAATGTTTATTTAATGAGTACACTGTAGCTGTCTTCACATACACCAGAAGAGGGCATCAGATCCCATTACAGATGGCTGTGAGCCACCATGTGGTTACTGGGAATTGAACTCAGGACCTCTGGAAGAGCAGTCAGTGCTTTTTAACTGCTGGGCCATCTCTCCAGCCCCAGACTCTGTTTTAATGTAGTGGAAATCTTTTGGGGGGTATATATGTATTGTTGTATGACCCAGCAAACACAGAATCTGGGAAGCAGAGGCAGAAATTTAAGCTTATTCTCTGCTATGCAGTGAAACTTTACCAGGCAAATCAAAATACTTTGCCTTTCCACAGAATGTCTGAGAATGTGCTCTAGCAGCTATATGCCCTTAAAATGTTTCACACAGAATTGGAGGCAAAAATGCCAAATTCTGGATGTCTATTTTTTAAAAGAGATTATTTTTTGAGACACGGTCTCACTAGGTCTCACTATATAGACCAGGCTGGTTTTGAATTCATAGAGATCTGCCTGCCTCTGCCTCCAAATGCTGAGATGGCATGTACCACCACGCTCAGCCCAATCAGCTTCATTTAGCTGGTCTCTCTCTCTCTCTCTCTCTCTCTCTCTCTCTCTCTCTCTCTCTCTCTCTCTCTCTCTCTCTCTCTCTTTCTTTGTGTGTGCATGTGTGTGTGTGCATACCAGTGCCTAGGAAGTACAAAAGAGAAGAGGGCATTAGATCTCTGTAGCTGGAGTTAGGCAGTTGTGAGCCACCTGACCTGGGTGCTGGGAACCCAATTCAGGTCCTCTGCAACTCTCACTACTGGGCCTCTCTTTGGCCTCTGTCCATTCCCAACCTTTAGGTTTAAAGAGCACAGGTCACATTTACGAATCTGTCATCCAGGAGTTAGTGAGCTAGTGGTAAGAACTAGTCTAGCTGAAGGAAGAGAGAGTGAGACTAGTCAAACACACTACCTCTGCCTATTCACAACCAGCAGCCTCCTGGATGCACTGGTACTTCCTAAAAACCAAAGGAAGATCCAACCTGCTGGTGAACAATACAGATTTAGAAAAGCTTTGGCTAAGACCTAGTTGTAGGCTGCAGGGAAACTGTGTCCTATAAATACAGAAGAAGCCTGGTGTGCTGTACACCTTTAGTCCCAGTACTTGGGAGCAGAGACAAGTAGATCTCTGAATTCAAGGACAAGTTTGGTTTACAAAGTCAGTTACAGGACAGCCAGGGCAACACAGAGAAACCCTGTCTTCAAAAACAAACACACTCAAAATAATTCTGTATTGAATGACTCTGTATATAGAATTTTTTTTTTTGGGGGGGGGGGTTGGTTTGGTTTTTCAAGACAGGGTTCCTCTGTGTAGCCCTGGCTGTCCTGGAACTCACTCTGTAGACGAGGCTAGCCTCGAACTCTCAAACTCAGAAATCCACCTGCCTCTGCCTCTGCCTCTGCCTCTGCCTCTGCCTCTGCCTCTGCCTCTGCCTCTGCCTCTGCCTCTGCCTCTGCCTCTGCCTCTGCCTCTGCCTCCCAAGTGCTGGGATTAAAGGTGTGCGCCACCATCGCCCGGCTTGTATATAGAATTTCTACAGAAGCACTACAAATGTTTTTCAAAGGGAGTTCCTTTATTATTTGGGGAGTGTCCCAGCACATAGGACATTATTGGTTCCACTGCCACACCCTTCAACCTTATGGATGATACTGATTTGTTATAGTAGTATGTAGTTGTTTTTACATAGGATCTATTATATAGCTCTGGCTGTCATCCTATAACTTGCTATGTAGCTCATGCTGGCCTTGAACTCACAGAGAGCTGCTTGCTTCTGCCTCCCAGGAGCTGGGACTAGAGTCCAGCATCACTTCAAGAAGAGATAATACTTTGAATACCTCAAATAACAGAGAAAAAGCATGGGCTTTGGAGGCAGAGACTGAAGTCTGATTATAGCCAGGTGGTTCATTTATAATAATAATTTTTGAAAAGGAAAAACAGGAGTCTAGAGAGATGGCTTAGCAGTTAAACACAGTTTGCTGTTTCAGAGGACCCTGGATCAAATCTTAGCATCCACATGGGAGCCTGCAACTGTCTGTAACTCTAACTCTAGGGAATCTAATGTCTAGCTCTGGCCTCGATAGATACCGGGCACACAAATATGCAGGCAAAACACCCATACGCATAAAATGAAATGATTTTTAAAGGGAACAGTAGTTAGGAGGGCACGGATGGAATGAAGACTAGTATGTGCAAAGCACCCAAAGTCCTAAGCACTCGACTCCAGTGATGAGATTTTTCTCTTATAGGAGGAAGGCCAGCTCACCACGGGACAGCTCAAGCTCCCTAAGACTCTCCTATTACTCCAAGATCTGCTTCTGTTAAAACAATTAAATCCGCCAGCTTCCCTATACAATGTGCTTTATACCCCCATGTCTTTCCTCTGAAGTCAGGCTAATTTGTGATGTCGCTTCCAAAGTCCAACACTGCATACAGTGTTTTGCTTCTGATCAGTTACACACATTTCTTTTTCTTTTTTTTTTTTTTTTTTTGGTTTGGTTTGGTTTTTCGAGACAGGGTTTCTCTGTGTAGTCCTGGCTGTCCTGGAACTCACTCTGTAGACCAGGCTGGCCTCGAACTCAGAAATCGGCCTGCCTCTGCCTCCCAAGTGCTGGGATTAAAGGCGTGCGCCACCACCGCCCGGCCCCACACAG